TGAGAAATGAGCATTTGTGCGCCACGCAACGAGGCCATCGATTTTGGCCGCTCGTTTCTCGCCGATTCCCAAGATGCCACGGATCTCTCGTTTGGTAAACGGCTACACCAAAAAAGTCCCTTCATTGCTTGAAGTGTCTAAAAAGGTTTCTTTCTTCCAACAATATCTTTAGCAAACTATCAATAACTTCTTATCTATTCGAAATGAATGGCCTTGTGTGTACCAACAACGTTTCTTATGTTTAGTCTCAATTAGACACAAGGCTTTAACAGTTTTAACAACTGGCAACTTTCAAAAACTGAGCAATAACCCTCACCATCGAAAAACAAATGAAGATAGCGATTGTTGCCAAGACTCCGTAGCCAGTCGCTTGAAATTCGTTTGCAAGAAAATAAAGGCTCATGTTGAGAGGCGGAAGAGTCAGGGTCGGGAAGAAATTCATCAAATACCAGTACACCGTGAAGCTCACGTAGATGTATTTTGCTAAAAAGACTTCTTTTGATTCCCAAGAAAGAACTCTCACGCAAAAGAATAACAATTTGAGTGATGACGTTTCGTTTTGTGGTCGATGTCCACAAATGTTTCCTTTTCAAATTGGCCGACGTTTTCAATCTGTAAGTGAACAGTAAGGCTTTACTAACTAAATCAGGACTTGTTCTTGGGAGTAAATTTTGCATGTCTTTAATCTGATTTTGGTCTTTGGTCTGTCCTTTGGTCTGAGCATCGCTTTAGCTTGGTTCAATTGAACTTCCAAATGAATTGAACCGACACGACCTGATCTGATATCCAGGGTGCGTCATAATTATGGACTATCGAACATGCTTAACTCGATGATATTTTTGCCCATAATAGATTTTCAGCCTTCAAAGCACACGAATTGATCGACTTACAGTGATCCCTTAAATAATTGGCGAGCGTTGTCCTTGGATCGATCGATTCGTCGACAATCCTTTGCCCATTCACATAGAATATCAACGTTTGTCGATCGTATGCATCGAATTGATCCACTTCCGAAACCCGTCTCTCTCTTTGACCATTCGGACTATCGTGACCTAGATAAATGGTTTTAAATTTGACTAAATTCAAAGCTTAAAGTTAGGTCAAAATGTGAACGCACTGAATTCTCCATTCTCTTACAACAGAATTGTCATAAGAAACTTAAAGGCTGTGTTTACAGAGATGCATCAGAAAGGGTGTGTTTACAAATTTCAAACAAAATAGATCACTTGAGATCTTTTAAAATGACAATCAATTTACCCGAATCGATTGAATTCGTCGAGTTTTGGTGTCGTTTGATTGGCGGTAGAAGTGGCATCTCTAAAAATAGACAGTTTACAAATTCATCTTTTACAAAATTTAAAATTTCCATTTGAATGTTTTTGCTTTCAAAAACTTTAGAAAAAAATGAAATGCAGTTAGCAAATAAAGGTGAAAAACAGAAAAACCGAATTTTTTCTTTTTTTGCTATCATTTTCAATAGATTATTCAAATTTTCAGCATTGATCAAAAGAAAAAGAAACATACAAAGATCTATGACAGAAATTTCGAAGAAAAAGTCTAAGGGGGTCGAGCAAGTTTTGCGGGCAAAGATAAACTGATAAAACTCTAAAGAAAAACGTCATTGTGGAAAGGTGAAGCTTAAAGGATTGATTCTTTTTAATTCTTTTGAAAGAATTCTTTCCTTGCTTTCTTTCAAATTCTTTCAAATTTCAAAAATCAGATTACAAAGCAAAGAAGAATTGAAAATAAAATGGAGTAGTAATTAGAAGAAAAAAAATGGGAATTTCTTTAGCTGGTTCGTGAACGTGAATCCAACAGTGGAAATTAGCACTTATTTGAGGTCAATTGATAGATACTTTATTCAGAACATGAATAAAGTGCCCAAAATTTAAGTTTCATACATATGAATTCGAAAAAAAGCTTGCTAAAAAGCAACACGATATAATATATGTAATATACACGGTGTGGCAAAAGTTCGGAGCCGCTATGAAAAAATTGCAGAAAATTTAGCGGATGGATGTGAAGAAAACAGTGGATGCTTTAAAATCTGCTCTGAAACGAGTCTGGGATGAAATAACTGTTTTAGCGTGCGCCACCATCGTGAGGAACTTCCCGAAGCGTTTAAAGAGGTGTATCGAAGCAGATGGTGGAAATTTCGAGCATTTGTTATAAGTTATTTGTTGTTATGATTCGAATAAAGAATTTGTTATTAATTTTTAACTTTTTAAAGTTAGTTTTTAAATCTTTAACTATCTTAAGAAGCGGCTCCAAACTTTTGCCGCACCCTGTATGGTTAGCACAGATAAAGCCAAGAATCTAGAGCTTCAAGATCCATCTACAGAGAATTTAAAAGTTTCGTGACTATTGGACTCTCTCAAAACTCTCAAAACGATTCGAAATTCTGGCAGTTCTTATTGGAAAAGAGTTATACAGAAACTTATTGAAGATGACTGGAATTTCTAAAATGAAAGAACCTCTCCTTGAACTAACCGTGGGATTAACTTTGAATAAATCTCAAAAAAGAGGGATAGATTGCCTGCTCTTTACAATTTTGAAACTCAATTGAGAAAGTTTGATGTGAAATTCGAATCCGACATCAATTTTTCAACATTTTCATCAAAAAAGAAATTCAAATTCGATTTTTCCTCAAAATTTTCTCTTCAATGAACATCAAAAGTTTGTCTTTGTGCTTTCAAGAGGTGTACTTTATGCTCAAAGAAAAATAAAATCGAAACCCATCCTTTCTAGTTTTAATCGTTAATTTCTTACAGACTGAGGTTAAAATTAGGAATTCTAATGTACCAGAAAGAGTGCGTTTGCAACTTAATAATAAAATTCAGTTAAAGTTTCTTAAGAAGTGATGAAGTCGAAATGAAATATTTTGAAAGTAATAGACAGTGAATTTCCCAAGGAAAAGGAATGAGATTAAGAATTAGAAGGGAAAAAAGAAATAAGCTGATAATGTCTTCTTGAAATTCTATCGATTCTGATTTTTCATATCTTATCAAGAAGAAAAACGAGAAAAGGAGACAATTATGAGATTATGAAGAAAAAGGAGACTGATCGGGGAAAGGGAAAGGCAAAGGAACACGTGACCTTTTGTGGGCAAAAGGCGAAACTGTTCATGTAAGTAAATAAACAAGTTAAGGTAAAATATTTTTGTCATATCATAATGAGAGTTACTGAAAACTGGATAGTGATCAAATTGATTTCGAACTGATTTTCGCTTACAATTTGTAAGCGAGTACCTTAATGTGTTTTCTAAAAGATACCATACTTAACTCCCTCTGAGAGATCAGATGCGTGAGATCAGATGCGTTGTGGTGTAATGGTTAGCACATTTGGCTTGCACGCGGAAGTCCGTGGGTTCCAGTCCCGGTAGTGCAGTGTTGGTCTACGCTAGTTTTCTTTTTTTTGCCACCTTTCAATCACTTTTTCTAGGCGCTGGTTAATGATAAAAATATATGTTATAACTCAAAAACTCACCCATCCTCTCTACTTTAATTTGATACCAAAACGGGCGGAAATAAACGTACTGGTGTCGATATATAAGCGGTTCTTTAAGCGTCTCCAGAATCTGAAAGTAGGACATCACTTACAAGCCATTTGATGGTGTTTATTCAATTTGAAACATTCATTTTATGTTTCTCAATTTCCGTCGCAAGCTTACAGTGAATTCCTTCAATTCCTTCCTCGGCTAGATAAAGAATAGATGCAAACCTAGAACAAATAGCCTGAAAACCTGTTCACCCTATTAACTTTTTTTCGAGTAGACAGATTTTAATAAAAGTTTGAATTTTTCTTAGCTGGATAGCATAGAAAAATTGGTATTGATCAGATTTTAATTCTTAAAAAAATCGATTTTAAACCCGTTGTGGTGGCTAATAATAGAATCTATTATTTACGGTAGGTAATTTTATCCTTTCTTTTACCCTTTCTATCGTAATCTTTCCCTCCCAACCTTTGTCAATTCCACAACATTCAAGATTTCATTTGCAAGAACTCATTTAAACTTTATCGACTTTTAAATGTCTGCGAAATCTTTTCCATAAACACCCAATTTATCCTTGTAGTTTCAGTTTGCCCTTTTTCTCCTCGTAAACAAGCAAAAAGTATTGGCAAAGACGTTCATGATCACAAATCACAAATGAATCATTTTAGAGATGTCTGTGAGATCATTTTAGAGATTATTTTAGTGATCATTTGAGGATAGATTGAGATTTCAGGTCTAGAGTTGGAAAGAGATGAATTGAGTGCACCAGAAAACGTTTGACAGAGCACAAAGCACAGTTGCAGGGTTGCTCCAAAAGCGATTTTATTGGATCGAGCAAAGTTTCAGCTAGAAGCCAAAAGCTGGCTACTCATCAAAAGTCAGGTCTAGCCTTGATCAGCCTCGCAGATCACAAAGTCAATTTGAATAGCAAACATTCGTTTTGCTATTGTTTTGATGCATGTTAAGATCCTTTTGCAATACCAAAATTCGAGCTTTCAGTTTCAAATTTCATTTTTAATATCAAAACGTTTCATTACAAGCACTTTTACAAGTACTTTGAAGCTTTCTGTTGTTTCTATTGTTCTATTTCTATTGTTAAGATCTTGATCAAGCCCATTTTTGCAGATTTTTCCAAAAGAAAGCTTCAAAGTACTTGTAAAAGTGCTTGTAATGGAACGTTGTGACATTAAAAATGAAATTTGAAACTGAAAGCTCAAATTTTGGTATTGCAAAAGGCTCTTTACTCTTTAGTAAAACTAATAAACACGAACTTTGAAAAATCCAGTCTTTCAGTCTATCGTTTAACGGCTTTTGTATCTCAAAATACAGTTCGAATCAATCACAAAATATTTTGAAGTTTTTAAACAACGTTTATTGTATTTTAGGCATTTTACCAAATAAAGTGTTCAAGAAATTTACACAAAAAATTAATAAATGAGTATTTAAATGATTAAAAAAAAGTGTTGTTAGATCTTAATCAATCATTGGAAAGGTCGAAAGTTTGTCAAGCTCTTCTTCTCGCATTCCTGAAATAATAAACTTAAAGACATTGAAATGCTTACCTATTTTGATCTAATACGGTTCCAAAACTTGCATTCTAAGCGAAACTACTGAGCGTATCTTTTTGGAAATTTGGCTATAAGCCTCATTTTTGATTCTCTACAACTTTTCTATTGACACCAAAATGGGTTTCTTTTGAGGAAAGTGCTCAAACTGGGACCTCTCCAGTCCTCCATTTTTGAGTCTCACACTTGTCTCACACACAAACCAGAATCCTACCACGAAAGAGGCATCCGCAAATTGCCTGTAAAATGGGCACAAGTCGTCAATAATAATGGAAATTATTTGGAATGAATTTATGGTTTTATGTTGAATAAATTTTAGTTCAAAGTCCCGCAGTTTTCAATTCACCAACCCAATAGAACTAAAATTATCTTAAAGAAAAGAAAGACGAGAAAAAAAAACCCACCAAATCTGAGCCCTCTCATAGCTGGCGCGATCAAAGTTGTTGCGGGATGCATCCTCGTCGCCCCGCCAGCGATTGAAGTGGCCGACAGCGGTGTGCCATTTCTCGTGCATGAATGGACGAGCTCCGTGATTGTACCAGTTATAGCCGTCGAAAGCCCAGTCCAATCCCTCGCTCACACCGCGGCCCAAACCTTCCCAAAAACTCGGATGTGCGTCGCTGAAAGTAAGTGAAATCATTGTGAAATACCTAATGGAACAAACCATTTCAGAGGAAATGCTAGAAGGAATGTGCTGAGAAAGAGCACCAAAGATCTGTTTGCCATTTTTAGCTTTAGTATGAGACTTCTCCATTTAAAAAAACTCTTAAATATTGCCAAAAACTTATTGTTAGGTAAGAAAATGATTCTTGAAACTTGCAAATTCTTGGAAAGTCGAATCTCGATACATTTCTTTTGACTTTTCTCTAATTCGATCTTTCATCTCAAGTTTATTTGACAATTTCTCCGAAAACTTTTATCAAATCAACAAAAAACAGATTTCTTGCGAAATCAAAAAGCTGCCTTTTATTGAAAGGCCTTGAGAAAATTGTTTTTCAGCTTGAAATCAATCAATTTTACCGTCAATCATTTTTTCTTATACCATCGGCGGCATCGACCTCGAACTTCATGTACTCAAAGAAAAGATACAAAAATTCAAATCTACCATAGGTTTTCTTAAAGCAAAAGATTTTCCCCTTTCTTTTTTCAATAATGGATTTTGTTGTTTTTCTGTGGTGAACTCTAGCTCCAAAATCTAGCAATAGTTTTTGAATGGAAGTCCTAACAAGCAAGAACAAATAGTTTTGAACTATACGATGTCAGCGAGCCATGTCAAGAGCTAACTGGGAGACTCATTCAACTTGAGAATGCTCTGGCTGCTACACAAGCATCTACGTGATGTAACTGATAAAACTAAGGGCATTACAAATTTAAATATAAAAGTTTTGTGAAATTTTACAACTAACTGGTTAATATTTCTATTTGTTAAAAATGATTTGCAAGGTTTTAAATAAAATGAAAACTATCAAAACGGGAGCTGTGCTGTGTTGAGTGCCAAGTGGTATAGTTGAATAGTTCGGTCGATTGTAAGACTCAATTCACGTTCATCTGCACACAATTCCCAACAACAAGATCAATCAAATGTTTAAAGAGACACCTCGCCTCAAGTTTCAATGATTCTTTGACGAGCAAATTTTTATGTAAAGCAATAGCTGTTAATGAGCATTTGAATACTCAGTAATACTCAAATACTAAAAAGAATTAACTTCAAAGATTCATAGAATAAAAGGACTCGCTTACTTGCTTGCCACAAGTTGTTCTTTACAGATTTCCTAGTTAAAGCCTGTTAAAAACTCTCTAAATTTATTAAAACACTAATGTTTTTTCTGTTTAAATGTTCATTTTGGTCATTTTAAACTAGAATAAAAAAAAATTGTTTATTGATAAAATGTTTAAAGTTTAGATATAAACTTTTATCTTTATCGTACTTTTTGATATCTTCTCTCCTGTTTTTCGATCTCTCGCTTGTTTTCTGATGGCTGAAAATCGATTGTTTTGTTTTATAATCAAAGAATTAAACAATAAATTAGAAAATTAGTTAAAATATTAAAGAATGAACTAACATTTCCTGGATTTCCATTTCTCCACTCAGAATACGAGTTGAGTCGATCAACTTCACTCGTCAACTTTCCCTCAATTTCTTCGGCTTTCCCCGGCAACACCATCTCGAGATGTTCTCGCATTTTTTGAACACAATCCTAACATTGGAAAAGTTCGATTGTCAGTGAAGTCACTCGTAAATCACCTTGAACAACGGTCTCTCTTTTGTCTTTGAATTCCAGCATTTCAGCATAAAGTTGTACCTAAAATATCTTCTCTCTCTCCCTTAAACATTCCTCCAACTTACAGATCATCATGTACAAACTCGGGCTTTTGATTTCGTTCTCCATTTCGAACTCGCATATAAATTTCCTCGAGCGGAATCCCCGGATATGGACGATCGCCAAGGGTGAATAGTTCGTACAAAAGGATTCCGTACGACCAAACGTCAGACTGCAAATTTACTTCAGAATCTTTTCCTTTATCCAAAATATTATAGTATCTTAGCATCCGTAAAATCTTCACATAAAAGAATTGCGTACCGCTTGTGTGTAATATCCGCTTTCAATCGATTCTGGACTCATCCACTGCACAGGTAAAAGATCATTTTTATGCTTCTTGAAGTTTTTTCTAAAAATAGCTTTCTTTAATCAATAGTTTCTCCCTAACCGATAATAAGATTTGCTAGCACTTCTTGCCAATCCAAAATCAGCGATTCGACAAATGTTCTTCTCTGTGATTAATATATTTCTCGCGGCCAGATCTCGATGAATGCACTGAAAGGGAAGGATAGGCCTTTTCAAACAGGACTATGACCTTTAAATGCAGCTTTTGATGCTGATTCCGAATCTGGTTTCAGATTTTGGGATCAAGAGGTATTTGGCATAGAAAGCCTTTTGAAGGTTTTGCTAAGCCTGTAAGCTAAATATCGCGTAATCCCGAGGTGTTCAGCAAGATCTGCACCCAGATTCGGAACCAGCATCAAAAACTGCATCTAATGGCCATAGTACCATTTGAAAAGGCCACACTGACTACCCATTCTTCCCTCCTGAGAATTAAAGTTGACTTTTTGCGAGCTGCAAAGTTTGACAAAAGGTCAAAAGTCAAGGAACAAAATATGAGGTGAAAGTCAAACAATTTTTGGCTTGCTTAGCTTTTCTCATTAAGTCTTCGTCGAAGCCCGTTAAGAAGCCATCCCAAGCCAGACTTCGAGCCAGCCCGAATTACCGGGATTTCACTCAAAAACTCCATTCCGCTAGCGATTTGCATCGCAAACGATAAAAGATCGGATGTCGAGCATAGAAATGTCTGAAATATTAATATCTCATTCAATTTCGTTTCTCTTCAAAATTTTTAGAAACCTGAACAATTGGTGTCTTCTCGTGTCCATCATGCTTTTCGTCTTGACTTTCAACTTGAGTCCACTAAACAATTCGAATTCAAGCTAAAAACTAAAACAAGGTCATACCGGAATATAGCTGTCAGTAACTACATCCACAGACATTTTTCTAATCATTGACTTTTCATCATGTTTATTCATTAGCAATTCAACCTAAACAAAGCGTTTTTTAGCTTTTTAGCGATCGTTTTCCTACTGTGTTTCCTCTATTTGTGCGATCCGGCTCCACGTATTCACTGTTTTGAACCTGAAATGTTAGTTTTACAAGAGACGGCCAACAGGGTGTGGATGGCCAAATGACATGAGCCATATACTAATCGACGTAGAATTTTGGGCTGATTCTGAATCTGTTTTCCGTTTTTGCTCTAGGTAGTCAATTTTGATCCAAATACAAAAGTCAAACACTGGAATCGAACCCTAGAATCCTCGCCTCATATTCAAACCTACTGCCAGTCGGCCACCACAAAATCCACAAAGATTTTGTGGTGGCCGACCAGCAGTAGATTTGAATATGAGGCGAGGATTCTAGGGTCCGTGTTTGACTTGCTTTTGTTTTTGCTTCTTTTAGCTTTGAATAGTTTGACAAGGGAGGACCTTCAAGTCAGCATCTGGGATTGAGCTGAGACCAAGTCGATCTTATAGAATCGACCATGGATATCACGAATATGTTTATAACATTTGCTCTCGTTCGCTCAAACGCAAGATATTTGGCACGGAAGCTTTAGCACTTACCTTATAAAAGCCTCTCACGCGTTGAAAGATAGTGTTACTGTGGTCTAGTGGATAAACGTCTTGTATCAGACGACTAATACTAATTGGACTATTAGTAGATTAAAGCAAAAAGCTTTGCAGCAAAATGATTCAAACCAGCCGCAAAACAATTAAGGGTCGCGTCCGATACAGAAGCTTATCCACTAGGCCCCCGCCGCACTCTTTTCCAACGTGTGTGGGCCTTTATAAGATAAGTGCTAAAGCTTCCGTGACAAATATCTTGCCTGCTGCGGTGCAAAAAAATGCTTTTAACTTTTGACAGAGTGCTGCGGTGTAAAAACGGATAGCAGATTCAGAATCTGCGGAAAATTCTACGTCGACTAGTATATGGCTCATGTCATTTGGCCATCACACCCCTGTTGACCCTCCCTTGTTAGTAATAATTCAAATACTAACCTTTCTCAATTCATTACAAAATGTGTTGCGTGGAAGGTTTTTCAGAAATTTCTCGAGACTCCCATTGGCGCACAGCTCCGTGACAACACAGAGACGACCACTGGATTTACAAGATGCGTTCAGAATCACATATCAAGTTTCATTCTAGTCAAGATATTAGGTACTTACCTAGTCAGATGATCGGTGACTGCTCCAATCAGAGTGAGCACATTCGGATGCGGTGGAATGAAGGACATCAACTTCAGCTCGTCGGCCAACATTTGAATGTTGATGATGTGTTGTCGGATTGAGGCTGTGTGAAATGGTTCCTATAGTAAGGGTTGAGAATCTTTTCTCAAGAAGTTCACCTTAACAGCGACCTTTAAATTTGGTGTTTCGGAAGTGAAATTATTGATTTGATTCGGTTTCTTCAAAAATCCCATTGAAACTTTCCCGAACTGTCCACTTCCCAACTGTAAAAAGTCGAAAGATTCAGTGGATAGAAGCTTTTTACCGTTTTTCGGTCAGAAATTTGAAGATCATCACATGAAATTTCAAATTTCGAACGATCGTAAACGATTTGATTGATTTGTTGATCCAGGGGAATCTGCTTGTTTCGATCTTGAGCTGGAATTGTTCCCCCGTTTATTAAATCATCGTACAGCACTCGGAAAGCACTAAAGAAAGAGGTTTTGAATACGACATCAATTTACTAGAGACTTTTCTAGATTTCGAGCTCGAGCTTTCTGTCTTCTCCACAAAATAACAAAATTGAGCACACATGCGAGCGAAATGAGAAAGACGATGGAGAGAGCAACCAATGCAAGCATTAGACGTCTTCTTTTATCGTCTTTGACCTATTGTTAATGCTGATCAACATTTCTGTGGGTTGTTGTTTGTTCATGATTAGCTGCGGATTATTCGTGATTAGCAAATGAACGAGTCTCAATTGTGGCATCGCTCTCTTATTACCTCAAGAGAGATGCTCCGTCGCACTTCTCCCACTCGATTCTTCCCAACACATTCATAGACTCCACTATCATCGGTGTCGACTT